GGGGAAGCGGCGGCGGTTTCGGCATCGGAATCGGAATCGGCGGCAGCGGCGGCGGAGGCGGCGGCGGAGGCGGCGGAGGAGGCGGCGGCGGGGGCGGCGGAGGCAGCGATGGCAGCGGGAGCGGCGACTTCGACTTTGCGACGGTGATGGGGGCCATCGGGGGAGGGTCGCAAGGCATGGGCATGGTTCCCAACTACAGCTTCTCCGACTTCGCGTCGGGGTACTCGCCCAATCCCGTCAGCCCCACGTTCGGCTCCAGCCGCCTGTCTCCCCTGGCCGGCGTTCAATTGCCGCAGTCGCTCTCTCCACGGGTGAACTGGGGTTAAGTCTTCCTGGGGGGTTGAGACCCAGTTTGCGTTCACAACCTCAGGCGATCTGCCTTGAAACTGAGGGCACAGCTTGTGAAAGGACGCAGTATGTACCAAACCTTCGGGCTTGGTGGAGGGTACTGTTGGTGTCTGTTGCTTCTTTGAAATTAAACAGCGAATATTTGTCGGTGTTTTTGTTGCTGGGGTAGTGGAGAGAGGGATAGTTTCGGAGGGGGGTCTTGGCCCTCTGATTCTGTACGGGACGCAATCGAGCGAGGTGGGACATCTGTTGGCCGACCTATTTGCTGTCTCCGACTTCTCGCTTCATCAAAAGTTCTGTTTTTTCCAGAAAGAGGGCGAGGATTGCCTGTTTGTTGTATAGCAATGGGGATGTATACACGCGAAGTAGAAGGTCGTTTCGCTTAGCTTGTTGTTTCCAATTCAGTAGACTATTTGTCTACGTTTTTTCGAGAGGGTGTACGTGAGCGCTTTGTATATTTTCGTAGTTCTCGGACCACGTTGTTTGCCTTGAAATGATTGTTTTTTCTGTGTCTGTCTGCCCGCGATAATGCAAGCTCAAAGCCAGTTTTGGCATGAAACCATGTGCGACTTGAAGCAAAGTGGCATGCACGTGTCTGTTTAAAAATAATGACGAACGATGACTCAAAGACCTCCTTCTGTCTCTCGACGCCCTTATATATTAATCTTACAATGAACTGTTCTGTCGGTGTTCTTCAAATGTTTTTGGTACCTGTATTGGCATCAGGGTGACACGTCGAATACTGTGCATGTCTGGCGTAAAGAACCGAAGGCAAGCGCCGAAGGAGTGGTGGGTAGGGAGCCTCAGGGAACTCTTCTGTGTGACCGCGGGTTGGAGATCCTATCCGACAGAAATGCTGTGAGCACTGTTAAGGTGACGAGAAAAAATATATATGACAGGACATCACCCACCCGCGTTCAACGCGACCGCTAACAAAGAAATGGTGCAACATCTGATATCGGGGCGGACGTAACACGCCGGTGAACACAGGCACGGAAGATTGGGGTAGGATGTCATCGACTCGCCGCCAGCCAGTCGGGTTTCGGTTAATTGTGGAAGCCTCCTTTCTGTCTCCAAACGAAAGAGGATAATAAGGGGGGGGGTGGTGGAGATCGAGATGGTCCCACGTCTTTCGAGGACAATTCTCTCTCTCCATATGCATGTGGATGTGAGCGAATCTAGCCATGTTTTGCCGTGTAGTTGGAATCTGACAGCCGCGTGGCCTAACACCATGAATCGTGGAATCTGCAACAACAAAGTAAAACATGACGGACTGTATCTATCTCGGGCTCTTCTTCTGCCGCCCCTCAAATTTTTTGTCATCAATTTTTTACTCCGTCAGGAACCGACCATGTGAGATGGGTCATGATGCGATAAATACATGTAGGGTGAAATCTACGGAGTCCGATGAGTGGAAACCTAAACCTACGTAAACAATTTTTGGGATTCACTCCCTCACGCGCACCGTGCCGCTGGCTGGTAAAGATCTAGACTACACTTACTTGTTTCACAACAAGACGGATCTGTGGCGGGGAAAGCAGACAATGGTACATAGCAGGCTCCATGCACGTCAGGAATTGATGCGTGGGGACGAGATACAAAAATAACGGGCGAACGCTCTGGGCGCTACGGCGGGGCTACAGCACACGCACTGAGCTACTTCGCTACTTCGCTACTTGCGACATCCAGAGAAGTTCGGAGTAAAATAAAGGTGTAGAAAGTAGAGAGCCCGATGATCGCTGCAGCCGTTACAATCTGACAGTCCCGCTACGATTCCCCCGCACATATCGACGATGAAAGCTATGGAGGTAGGCAGGCAGCGAACCCTACCAGAGAGCACGCTCACTGCGCACAGATCTGGCAAATTCATGATTTCACCACGTCCTACGGATGTTCGGGGTGGTGGCGGTGTCCCCGCACTTCGCGTGGTTGAGGGAGGAAACCCAGGAATCCACAATGTAGCAGACGGCACCGCGAGCATGCGGAGCACTGGATCGGCTCGGAGCAGGGTCCCTCTCTCGGCCAGATCTGCGGCTTCCGCGATCTCGATGCACATCAACTCCTACTCCTACCTCAGTAACCGAGTGTATGACTTCCAGCAAGCTAAATCAAGGTGGCTGCATCGGGTACAGAGCGAGCGCGACGGGGACGCTGACGAGGGTGGGGATGCTGTGTTGAAAGTGAGAACATACTGCATAGTCTATCGGTCACTCACACAGACTTCACAGCCGGCATCTCCGGAGTCTCTGTATTGCATTGTGGCGTATTCTTTGGTCCACGACATTGGCAACGCAAGCAACTTTGTCGGATTGAGAGGGGATGTTGAGTCATTGTCTTGCATTAGGAGGACATCTACAGGCAGTAGTCTCTCGTGTTCCACAATTCGCGGCCGTAGATACAAGTGTTTTTCACGGAGGATATGTTGTTTTCGACTGAATCCAATCATGACCTGTGGGTACAATAACTCAACGTTCTCCCTCTGGCAAAACGTCATTTGCCTTCTGCGTTGAAAGCCTGATTGATGTACAGCCGGTCCCACTGCCTGCGAACATGCATACAGTAGGCCTCTACAATTTTGCTGTTACGCCAAGGTAACTTGTTGGTATACCTGCTAAACCCAAGACAGCAGCAAAATGAGTTCTCAGCGAAAAAGTGGGTGGTGGGACTTGCTCAGGTTACATATCTTGCCGCTATGTGAACTTAATTAAACGCCCTGAAGTTGGTTTAATTGCGATCAAGAAACTAATTTCTTCTCTTACAAGAATATACGGGTATAGGTACACAATGGATAGATGCAAAAAACTACTTCGTACGGAACAAAAACGACAACTGGACCATCCGCTGCTGCTTTTGCTTGCTGCCGCTGCCCGTGCGTGCTTCGGGGGGCGCCACCGCCGCCGTCGCCGTCACGCAGCGTTTACCGCTAGACTTCGAGCCGTTCTTCGCGCTGGACGCAAGAACACGACGAGGAGAGACAAGCAGCAGCCGCAGCGCATCGACGTCGCTTGACGCGGCGGAGGGAGGAATAAGAAGCCGCGCGAAAGATTTAGCATTTCAGGGTTGCTTTGCCGTTTTCAGCAGTCGACATTGGGACAGGCTCTACCTCTTGCTCGCCCTGTCGTGGTCGGTGCTGTACCCGGGATACATGGACGGTGCGATACCGGTAGAGCGCACGCACCTGGCCGCGCTGTTGCTGGTCATGTTTGCGGCCGCGGCGGTGCCGGCGGTGTTGGCGGCGGTCCTCAAGATGTTCTTCTCCGTAAGGCTTCGATCGAGTCTCGTTCGCGACGATCGCAGACGCTTTGTGGTGAGAGCGCCAGGGAGATTAATTGGCCTTAGAGAGGAGGAACCCTGTCAAAAGGTGTTCCGGTTCAAGCCTACATATGCAATTATGAACATCGACGCGAACCAGTTATTTCTGTAGTGCCCTTTTCAGACATGCAGATGGGTAATTTCTGAAAAGGGTCCTTTCTACGATAAAAACAAACCCGGCGACCTTTGTTCTGATTCATGTCTCTACGTGTGTGTGTTGATCACTCAGAAAAATGTGAACGTCACGCGTGCAACGTGGTTGCACCGACCATGCAGCCTGTTCGACACGTGCCTTCCACTCGAGGCTGTCCATGTCCTCTCCTTCGGCATACTGAGAAAAGTATTATATTCGAGAAACTCATCTTTCACGGCAACAATATCAGCAGCAGCACCACCACCACCACCAACAACAACAACAACAACAAAAATAGTAGGGCAAAGGAAACTGTTGGCAGTTGATTGCCATGCAAAGCACTCAAGCAGTGGCATCTCCTTAGGTTTACTTGTTAATTTCTCCTCCTTTAGTAAATTCGCACACGAGTAAAGCAAAAACACTGAGCGGGCGCGCCAGCCATCACAACGCACGCGCCGCCAGTAGATGAGCGTGGTACTCACCCCTTCGTCTCCCGTACCCTCTCGTCTCACATAACAAACCTCAGGGAGTATTCTTCTTTCTCGCTACCAAGGCTGTCTCTGTCCCTGCCTTCTGCGGCGGCGGACGCCTGTGCGAGCGCCGAGTTCACGCCCTCAAGGACGACGCTACCTCCACCGACGATGACAGCTATGATGATGACGGCCACCGCGACAACGAGGCCGCGCTCGAGCGTGGGGGGGGCGGAAAGACCATAGGGGGCGACGCGCAAGAGGAAGGGGACCTACAGCGAGCCCCGTTGGGGGGAAGCAGCGGTAGACGCGGCCGTCCGACCACGCCGTCGGAGAGGGATGGAGAAGATGGTGGTCATGGCGGCCGGGGAGGGAGAAGCGCCAATAGATTGGCGGACGGTGGCACGAGGAAGAGGACGGAACTCGACCTGCCGCCTAGGCACTGGATGTGCACCGTCTGCAAGAAGGTTGTTCCTTCTTTGTTGGCCTCTGTCGGCATCTATATCTGTACCTTTCCCGTTCTCTCCTCACTCTACACAAAAATCGCTGCGTGCAGCTGTCTGTTGACAATTTCCCTATTTTTTCTCTCCCTCACTGTCCCGCTCGTTTGTTCTAACGCTCAATAACTCGCTCGTTTTTCATACCTAGCGTCATCGCTCCTTTGTCTTCCCTCTCTCTTCAAGGAGATGCAGGAAGCGAGTATTTTTTTCGGGTTGAGACGTCTCCTACCTTGTTTTGGTCGCGCATGTATTTTCGCGGGCAGATTCTCACGGAATGATAAAGGGACGAGAGCAAGAATCATTTCAGTACAAATGCGCGCCTCCCGTGGAGGACTCGTGTTCCCAGTGCCTCCTGTCTCCACCTGTAAAGAAGTGTCGACCAGGCCACACTTCGTTAGACTATGACTAGAGGTTGCGCCGTGCATACCGCCCGCCCCCCACCCCCCCCTAACCCCTTCTCGCTCTCTCGAAAAAAGTAGAGCGGAAAGCCGCCACCTCACAAATGCTCCCAAACGTGGGTCCCGTTCCCGAGTTTACGGGTCAAGGACGATGTCTCGCTGTTTTTCTGCGAACAACCGACGAACTCCTCGCGGCTTACATACACAGCGGTTCAACAACGTGCGGGGAGTATGACCAACTCTTCCAGCCCCGCGTGGTAATACCCACCCTGCACCGTCCTCGTCCTCTGTCTTACTCACGTACAACAGGTTAACATGTTGCCTGACGAGTGGAACGGCCGAGCCGGGAAGGACGTGCACGTCGTGATAAAGCGGAAGGCGGTGGACACGCGTGCCATGTACGGCCTCTTCAAGACCAAGCCCGGGGTACCGCTGTGCAGCAAGTGCCGCACGCCCTTCAACTACTCCTGGAGAAACGGGGGCGGCTCTGACAACTTGATGCAGCAGCGACAGCAAAGGCTTCTGGACGCGGCGCTGTCCCGGCCCACAAACGCGGCAAGCACGGCGGTGGCGGCAGGATCTGCAACAGATCCGGCGCTATCCGCGGCGGTGGACGGGCCCATGGACGCAGAAAACGGAGGCGTTGCCGCCGCCGCCGTCCATCGAAGGGTGTTGGCAAAGGCGGCCAGATTCATCCGTGCCCTTTGTTCACCATGTAGACGAAGGCGTGCCGCGTCAAGCAAGCCTTTCGACGGTCGGGGCGGCTCCGACGCGGTGGAAGAGCCGGAGCTCTGGTACGGGAGGGAGTTCAGGCGGCAGCTCATGACCTACTTCAAGCCGGAGCTCTCCCGACCGGCGGCCGGCGGGGAGCGGTACCCGGTCGGGGCCAGGGTGGCCTGCTTCGCCGGGAAGGACGCCTGGTACCCCGGCGCCGTCGCGGCCTCGCGGGAGAACGACACGTACGACGTGCGCTACGACAACGGGGACATCGCCCAGCACGTGTTCTCGCACATGATCCGCTTCGAGCCCGTCCACGCCGACTCGCGCCTCACCTGCTGCTACTACGGCCTGGCCCTCGCCGCCGCTGCGGCTTGGCCGCTCGCGGGCTCGTGGTACTTCTCTTCGACTTCCGCTGCCACCGCCGCCGCCGCCTCCGCCGCCGCTTTGGTGGCCTTGCCGGCGCTGGTCGTGGGCACGGCCGGGACCCTTGCCGTAGCGTTCCAGTTCTGGGAGATCTACGCGGACAATAGGAGCACGGGCTTGTGTGTCGCGACCAAGTTCGCGGTGATTTTTGCGCTGCCTTCGATGTCGCTCGCTCTGGTAGGCGGTCTGGCAGTCGTAAAGGCTTTGGGACCGGCATTCGCAGGATCGTGGGTGGAGGTAAGAGGAAGAGAGGGAGAGCGTGCCGTTCGAGGACGAGAGACCTGATGCGCACGGATTCGGCCACACAACTCACAGATGATAGCGAAGATCGGGGTTTCGTCAGATCGAATGGTCAGGCACACTCCACAACCACACGCGGAAGGTCTTTCAGGCAACCAAACATTACGTTTTGCCGTTAAATCTGCCGTGGCGGGGTTCCGCACGAGTTTACATGAACGGTGCCTGCCAGTTTCACGGGGGAGGGACAACCTGGATTAGGGGGGATGTAGAAAATAAGGGCGTTTGCTTGGGTCTACTGGAGGTTCCAAGTGTGAGACATGAAGCCTTGCTTAGGCCAGGCTCTCGCTGAGCAATGCCCAAGTTGTACTCGGTGCGGCACAACATGAAAGACGGAAGTCGGTTGTGGAGATCCCCGTGCCTTGTGCGAAGACATCATGAGTCCCTGCCGATGTTTGGCTTTGGTTGGGTTTGGCTATTATAGTACGCTCGGAGACCGGACGTGATGGCGTTTTTGAACGTAAACAGAGTGGTTATACAGCTGACACAACGACAGCAAAAAATCAAGCGTGCGTCCCACATGTTCATCGTGCCCCCGCCCCTCCCCCGCCCCCCCTCTCTGCTTCCCGCCCCAAAACCAAAGATGCTGCTGGTGCCGTCGATGCTCTTCAGCCTCACCGGAGGCGGCTACGCCCACGCGGTATCCCCGGCGTACGGCAAGGCCTGGGCCATGGCTTCCTCGCTGTGGCTGCTGTTTCTCCTCCTCGTGGCGCTGCGCCTAGACGGGGAGCGGGGGGACGCCCGCCCCGCCTTTGGCCAGATGAGGTGGCTCGGGGTGTACTTCCCGCTCTGGGTGTTCCTGTTGATGCTGATAGCGGCCCACGAGGCGCTGCCGTACGTGTGGGACATCGACGTGTTTCGGGTACCTGCGAGGCCGCCGCCGTCGCCGTTGGAGGGAGAAGGAGGTGGTGACAACGCGGGGGGAGGGGGGCGCGTCAGGGGGGTCTTGTCGCGGCTGGCGGGGAGATTGGTGGGGGCAATGGCGGCGAGGAGGGAGAGGTCACGAGAGCGCGCGGCGGCTGCCGCTGATGCCGTTGATGCCGCTGATGCTGCTGCTCCCGCTGATTTGGCTGATGATGCTGGTGCCGGTGGTACTGATGCTGGTGACCATGCTGTGGGCGATGAGAGTGCTCCCGCTGCGTTGTAGCGCCGTGTCGCAGAAGAATGCGTAGTTCGGGGACGCGGACCAGCGGCGGCCAGGAACCTCCTTCCGCTTCGCAGCCGACCATAGTGTTACACATAGTCGGCCGTCTTAGAGTAGGGACACTATTTTACGGCCGCGTACACGTGCCTCTTCCTATCGAGGGCACCTGAGAGCTATTCTTGGTCCCATGGTGTGCATTAAAACGGTCGTCGTGCATTGGTTGTGGCCCAGATATAGAAATGATGATCGGATAAATGTGTCCGTGTGTGCAACAGCCAGACCTGACGGACCTGAGGGAAAATGTGTTGGAATATTCAACGTCAGTCATTAGAGTTCGTACTGCTGTAAACAACAGTAAGTAGGTATTCACCTAAGGAGTATTACCGGAATAGTCTTCGGTATGTTGATTCAGTAATCGGGTCATTGTACACACCTACGGGCTATACATTGAACCATAGAAGTATGGTACATCGGACCATTGTCCTAAAGGATATTCTAGAAACGTTGCCATAGTTCGGATTGACCGTCTATTACCGTGATCGGTACGTTGCAATAGCCCGTGTGTGTTTCCTTTCCGTAATGACGGTGGATGGCTCGCCCCCGTGGTGCTCGCCCCCACTCGCTCATTTCTTCTTTCTTCTTCTTCTCCTTTCTCTCTTCTCACCTTTCGGCCAACGAAGCGCCAATACAACCATATCATCTGGTCTACAACACAAGTGTACTTTACAGTCACTCTGTGAGCCTCTGCACACTGTTACAGTGGCCATTGCCAGGGATACACCTATCTATCACAAAGGTTACATCCCAACAAAATGTACTCCATTGCACGTGTGATTTCGCATGGCCATGTATCGTTCGTCAATTGTTCCTACACTGCTCCCCGCTCTGAGGTGGAGCATCGACCCTTATTCATGCGAGACTTGCCGCCGCCTCTGAAGTACCAAGCCCAACTTGAACTCGCGTCATACAGCAAGATATATTTGAACAGAGGGGCTACGATCCCAGCAGACCCACGGCGAGGAGTGATGTGCCCTACTAGTGCGATGCACGCATCTTGACAGAGAGAGCGAGAGAGAGACAAAGAGACATGGTTTTCTACTGTTGATAAACTCTTTATGTGGTGAACCGCGCGCGTGGATTTCATCCGAACGCCCACAGTCTTTGTTAGCTTACACACACAGCGGCACGTAACTGGCTGACACCAGAAGACTAACGACCTCTTCGATCGCAACTCCTGTCGATTTCTTTTTCCCATTTCATGGCTCGCACTGGCCTCAAAACACGGAAGCAGCCCCTAACTAACCGTTATAACTGCGTCAGTCTCTTTTTGATTCCGACAAGGATAACAAGAACAAGTTCTTCCACGGTACAAGGACCGCGAGTTTCCTTGTAAGCCCGTTCTTTACAAGCCGCTGCCGGCACTCGGGCGGGAAATCTCCACCCCGCCCGGCATCGCTGAAGTCGCCGCTACGAATTTCATTTTCGACGAATCGTTCGGTTGATCCTTTAGTTCGCCGGTTAGAGCGGGTGAGAGTGGGACAGGAGGTGGTAATTGTTCCGGTGCTGTTGCTGATAAGGCCCTCTGCCGACCAGCGACGACGAAAACCACTCTCTCCAACGCGGACGCGTCGGTGTTGATCCGGTCCTTGTCCCGGTTGTGCTGGTTTTCGTGCACACGCGCGGGGGGCGGGCGTGGGAGAGGGGTACAATATACAGTCATTTGTCACCCGCACTAGGGAAAGGATTGGAAACAGTTTCAAGTTGGGAGTGCCCACATTGCTTTGGGTGGGGTGGAATGGTTGTAGGTCGTCACGTTACCCTTCCTTGCCGTCTGCGGGATATGGCTCTTTCGTGCTCCACTCGTTCGACAAGAGGTGAGGCATGCTCCTCATCATAGTGCCCGCAAGGGCTCCACCATACTCAGTAGTTTTGTTGTTCGGTGATGATAGAGCCGAAGTACCTTGCTTGTTCTTCCCCCCCCAGCCTCCTTTCACTCGGCCGGGTATGAGGTAAAAGTACAACCCCCGTTCATAACGCAAACCGAGCACACCCTCCCCCCGAGCTGAAAATCCCCCGAACAATAGGGATGGAACGATTTCACCCAAACAAGCCAGTAGACCACAACCACACTCTCTTCTTGCAGAAAGACAATATCCTCACAAGTGCTACATTACAGCTTACGCTATTCCATTATGATGATACCGCGAAAGAGCACGGATATGATCTGAACCGCTACGAAAAGCTAGATAAACTTAGGCGGCATCACAATGACATGGCATGCCGACAGCTTCAGATCGTGCAGTGACATGGCAGCAAGAAAGGCGCCAAAACCCACACAGACAACCCCAACGGATGAGCATTGACTCACCCTCTCATCTAGCACCCCGACGTGCGCCTCGTCGACTTGTTCCATCAGCGCTGCTCCGTCCTCCTGCACAGCGGGCGGGTGGGTGGGTATTTGGGGGGGGGGCGCGGGCGGGGTGCTCACGGGTTTTCTGTTGCCAACTAACTGCAAGGAGGGGTGTCGATTGTCGTGCATAATTAACTGTAGTCCCTGGGCGCTAGACGGAGTACTCGCGTGGCAGGCGGGCAAGTGGTTCGTGGCAGCTGTGGTGGTAGAAATGGTCTGGCTGGGCATAAACGACGAACACCAACCCCGAGAGGTTTTGCTTGTAGGTCGTGCTTAGGCTTGATTCATACAGGTTGTCTTGTTGTCCGGTCTGCTCTGGATAGACTAGACTAGATATATATGTCGTCTCCTCGTGTTGATCTTTTTTGTTTCGTAGGGAACATGAATGATCCTCCGATTCACCCTTCCCTAATCCAGATCAGTAGCCGCCGTGCACAGCTCACCAGACTCCCATCCAAGACGAGACGACGGACGCGCCCTAGCGTGACCAGATGCTCCTTCAGTAGGTCATCGCGCAGGTCTAGAGCTCTCTTCGCCAAGCCCCTGTCGAGCGGCACGTGATGGCGTCCAAGTATCAGGACGGGTTGCCGCTCCTGCCGACGAAGATGGGGTCTCGTCGCCCTACAACAACTGGTTGGTTGGTCGAATGCCTCGTGATTACATGTATTCATGTTGGTTGGTCAAATGCCTCGTGATTTACATGTGTTCAGACGGCGGTGTTGTGCCCTAACTAGGACGTCTGTCTTTGAACTGCCCGAGGCTGGAGCATTGCATCGGAACACTTGGTGTCGACACAAAACGATCACGCCCGACCGGCTACATGCCGCAGCCACCCCACTTCATGCAGAGTCCGTCGTGCAGGACATCGGCGGGACAACATCGCCTCGTTCCCGGTGACAAAGATCCGAACTGAGAGTGGCACAACAAGTCCTGGTACCTTATCTCTGCGCCGACGCTGTCCAGCAATGACGTGTCGCCGCCATCGCTGCCGCCGCCTCCTCCACCGATTCCCGCCGGTGATGCTAGGAGCGCTTCGATCGCCGCCGAAGAGCTTGCGGGTAAGCTCCCCCGCCTGCGTTCATCCTGCCGTCTTATTTTAGCCCTCCTCTATTGGTGGTTGAGTGCCGAATTCACATCGTAGGCGGTTGAATTCGCCAAAATGTTAATGTTGGTAGGGGGGGCGGGAAGTCAGACAGGGGGCTGCGGGGGGGAGAAGTTATCCCCAAAACTGTGTTGATAAGTCACGTTGCGGAGTGTTCGAATCCATGCGATTGTTGAGGTTAGTGAACTCGGCAAAGCAGCTATATAGCGCATGGCCGCACGTGTGCTTCTTGTACACCACCCCTGC